CAATCTGTCATTAGCGCGGCTGTTTAGAGGTGATCTTTTGCTCTTGCCTGCGGGTAGGTGCTTATCCTCTAGAGGGCGTCATGTTCTTGCTTATTACAGTGAGCACATTAACTGTCTGCTCCAGTCCATTCTTACAGATGAGATTTACTTTAAACACTCACACTCCAGGTACTTTTACCACTAATCACCGGACATCTGCAGTATCCCAGAGGTGCTTCAGAAAAATGGTACTGTCTAAAAAGAACATTATTTTACATTGGTGCATTGCTTTAGGGTTAGGCCATGCACAATGCTATGAATATATTTGCTAGTTTATTTAACTTTGTGAAGTAATTTGGTTAAATATAGTGACTCCTGGGTTTAGTCCTACTTTCGATATTTATATTTGAAAACACACTTTTTAACCAACACAAATGATGAGGTTTATCTTTATCGGGCTGGCGATGTTGTGGCTCAGGTGGCTGTAACCAGAAGGTTGATGGTTGGATTCCAGCTCAGACCAGGTCATATTGCGGTTGTGTACTTGGGCAAGACACTGGCTGTTGATCAACAAGAGGAAGTTATCACAGTGTAATGAATAGACACTTTGAGAACCTTGTCAAGCATATGAAAGTTTAATCAATATGATCATAATATAAACAAAAAAAATCTAGGTTTTTAAGCATTTTTTGTAAAGTTATTTATTTAAGTTGCTCATTTTGACATTAGTAATAGTAATAGTAGAAATAGAAGTGAGAAAGCAGAAAATAGTAGTAGAATTAGAAATGGGTAAGGTTTTTTGTCCAAGATTTTTCTTACATTAAAAGTAACAATAATGACACTTAAAGATTTAAAAGTATTAGACAAAATTGACTCTTCTGAGCCTTAAGCCATCTTAGAATGTTGTTACCTCATCAAAAACATACCTGAAGTTGTGTTTTGTTTCATTCACACATGTCTGAGTAATGCTTTATTATTAGTCTATCTCTCCAAAACTCAAAATGGTCTGTTCCACCTTGTGATGTCATGAAGTAGTAGTTTTCAAGTCAGCAGCTTTCACCTTTTGTTCATTCGAGACTACAGTTCCAGGGGTGAAATCATACAGATGATTAGAGTGAAGGTCTATGGAGTGTAAAAATACAGTGGAGCACTTCTTGTATTACCATGTGACCTCACAAGGTGGAACAGAGTGTTTTCTGTCTGAAAGAAGAACTTCTAAATCTGCAGGGTTTGTATGAATGAAACAAAACACAACTCCAGGTATGTTTTTGATGAGGAAAATTAAAACATACATCAGAAAATAGTGTAATATAGACCCTTTAATAGAGTATTTAGTAGTTTTTTACACTCCTTTGAAACTTTAACGCACCCTTAATCACTGTGGTCTGGACCCAGGGCCGGACTATAATTGCAGTAGTAATAGGACAAGGAACTGTGGTAGTAGCATCATTGTTCAAAGTAGTTTGTAAATTGATTTCGTAGTTTGCCGTAGCGACTATCCACAGATTCCTCCCACAGTCCCTTCAGCGTTTTATCTTCACACCTCACTGCTCTCCTCTGTTTTTTTTTATGGCCCGGGGTTGATCTGAGGCTAACTGCTTTGAATGTGGCTCTATTCACTCAACCTTGTGCGCTGTTTGGCTCTATTAGTGAGATGTATCTACAGTACCTGACCCCTGCCTCCGTAGCCCTGCATTTCCAAGGAAAGCGACTTATTTCCCCGAAGGTTGTTTTGGAGGAGAGGGTTCTGCGATTTGTCACTGGAGCTTCGGTGAGTGTCCTTGGGTTTTGCTCGTGCTTTTCTGCATGACCGCTCAACATCGCCCCCACCTGTGCTCTTCCGGCGGGGCGTTCGGGGCCAGACAGCGGCAGCAGCTCGGGCAGATGGAGCGAATCAAATAGAGATTATAGCGGAGAGCTGTGAGGGGGTCATCAGTGTGTCTAGTGTTTATTTATAGTGCTTTGTTTTAATATGCAAGCAGGTTTATTGTGTCATCTTCGTTGTGCGTGTGTATAATGTTAATTTTAAGGATGCGTCAATCCTGAAAAATGTGCTGGATCGACTGTTGGCTTCCAAATATCAGTTCAGCCGATATCCGATCTCCTATATGCGATATCAACTGATGTAATAAGACTATTTACTGGTTATAGTTGGTCCACAAAGTCTCATCATGTTTGAACTTTTATTTATGCAAAACTGTTCCGTAGATACTTAAAACCACATAACAGATTTTGATCTTTTTTGTCTTATTTTATTTTTGTTGTAAGGAAGTAAAACTTGTTTTCAGTCTCTGCACTGGTATCGGTTAATATCGGATGTCTGCAGATCCTGAAAGCTATAATATTGGGAATCAGGAATCGGTATCAGAACCAAAATCGCTTGATCCATGCATTCGTATAGTTAAATTAAAGAGCCCTGCTTCCCATTCCCAAGTCTTTGAGCAAAATTTGTCTCACCTAGTAAAGATTGATTATATAAGCATCTCTTGAGGTCAAAATATGTTCTGCTGTGTTCTTGTACGGTATTCAGGAAGTCCATGTCAGCATGATAGTTGTTAGTGTTGCTATTAAGGCAAAACTCTGCAGTGGTCTCTGAGAGTTGTGAAAAGCACTTATAAACTTAAGTGCTTTGTGTTTCATTTTTGTATGAAAAACTCTCTATAAATCAAGTTTGATTGATTGATTGCTGTGAATAATTAGGATGATCTGAATGCAGAAAGTAAGTGAGGAATAACTTTGGACCACAGCGAACTGTTTAAAATAGTTTAAGACAGGTAAAAATGAGGTAGACTGCCTTTAACGAGTATACAAAAACTAACAAGATTTGTATTTATTTATATATTTTTTACGATCAATTAAATGTGCAGTCCAGTTCAAACGTTTGTCCTCACAATTGCTGATTTTAGATGATTTTTTTTTCTATCTTTGTAGCATTTTTACAACTATAACTCCGCCCTCTCAGTAGGTGGAACTGACCAAAGTTAAGTTTTTTTTTTTTTCCCAAATTAAATGTTAAAACACTAGATGATGTGCTAAATCTCGTGGCAAAAAATATTGTTCCATTTCTTGTTGTGTGTGATGTGTTAGTATCTGTATATTTCTGGTAGTAGTAGTGTCTGTAGTAGTAGTAGTAGTAGTATCAGCATTGGTGTGCGGTGATTTATTAGTGACAGTGGAATAGTTTGCATAGCGCACATACGTTTTCCTTTTTTTTCTAACTTGAGATCTGTACTGACTTTACCAAGGGTGGATTGTGTGCCTGTCTACTAATACTACGCCCAGATTTTTCTTTCTCTCCAAGAACTGAGGAAATGTTTGTGTGAGTGAATTGGCCCATTTAAGAAGCACTTTCCGTTTCCCTTACATTTCCCTTAAAAGCTTAAAGGACTTCAGATGTATGAGGAGCGCGGAGTCTTTATTTCAGTGGCTGCTGGTCTGAAAGTGTGTGAGGACCAGAGGAGGTCAGTCCATTAAGACTTTAAATACAGCTCTGCCTCACAATCTCGAGAAAAAACAGGAAACCAACGAGCAGATGGTGGCTTTGATGGTCTGGAGTTTATTAACCAAAACTGGAGTAGCTAAAAATACTAGAAGAAGTCCTCTCGAATGAATCTAGTAGCAGTGGCTTAGTTTGTTCCAGCGATGTGCAACACCAGCTTTTTCACTTTTGCTTCAGTTTAGATCAGTTCCAAGGCAGGAATCGGCAGTACCAATTCCAATTTCATATAACAATAAATCTGTACCATATAATATTTTGGTCTTTAATCTGTCTTCAGGACATAAACCTGATCTAAACCTGGTCTAAACCCGTATTTTGATCTCTACTTTATCTTCGGGACATAAACCTTAAAATCCTTATTTTGGTCTGTAATTTAAACCTGGTAAACCTGGTCTAAAACTCTGTCTTCAGGAACTGAACTTGATCTAAACTTGACCAAAATCTGGTCTAAACCCTTATTTTCATCTCTATAGTCTCTCTTCAGAGCATAAACCTGGTCTAAACCCTTATTTTGACCCAGCAGATGGTGTGAAAAATATCTAAATCTTTTCCATTAAAAACAAAAAAGTCCTGTTCCCATCTGTACTGTTGTGGTTTATTTGTTATGGCTGTAATGTGAGGTTGGAGACATACAGGGGGCGCTGTGTGTCATATTATATCATATTATTTGGGTAAATCTGAAAAATACTGTGAAACTAAAGCAGTTCCGTTATTTCGCCACTAGAGGGCAATATAAACCAAGTAATAGCAGTTGTAGTGACGGTACAGTGGCAGTTGTATTTGTAGTACTGGTTTTAATCAACAGTAATTATACAAATCCATAATTTTAATTTACATCATAACATGATGTGTTTTACTTATTTATTTTAATTAGAAATTAATACAGATCTGAATTAAGAATCATTATTCTAAGATAAGTTATACAGTGGGTAGCAATAGTAGTAACACTCTTGTAATATTAGTAATAGTAATGCTAGTAAGTCGTAGTAATGTAGTAGTAGTAGTAGTATATGAGTATTTGCCCAACAAATGTTATAAAAATTTTATAAAAGTTCATGTAATAAACCCACAATTTCCCATCACAAACAAAACAACTTTATACATTTATTCAAACTGTTCTTGTGGAAAACACCTCTCCCAATTTGTATTTGTGGTTACATTCCTCATTTGTGCAAAGCTGTGGTCAGTGTTAGGAAATACTGCATACATGTACCGAAATTACATATTCAAGTATTTTTTATTTTATTTTTTATTTTTTTGGTGGTACTTGGGATACAGTTACTCTTTTACTTTCCTCAAATCAAAGGAATACATTGTGCTACTTGATCAAAGTACACGGTTAAAAGCACTGAGTGTATTCCCTAGTATCGAAATGGAGTTTAACAATTTAGTATGGTGACAACACAAATTTAATTGTTCAACTATCAGATTTATTGACATCTGGGTATAGCTCTTTTAAATCTAATCACACGTCTTCTCTCTTTGTTTCTCTCTCTCTCTCCATCTCTCTGTCCCTCTCCAGTCCATGGTGTTGCTCCTGCACAGTCAGCATCAGTACATATTCGACTATGACTCGGGCGATCGTCTGTCTGCGGTGACCATGCCCAGCGTGGCCAGACACACAATGCAGACCATCCGCTCCATCGGGTACTACCGCAACATCTACACCCCTCCAGAGAGCAACGCCTCGGTCACCGTGGACTACTCCGAGGACGGCCAGGTCAGTGGGATAACAAGGATTTTATTAAATGTGCACTGAGTAACTTTTCTGGTGGATGATGAGCTGTGATGGAACATAAGAAGTACATTTTGGTTCTAGTCTACTACATTTTTGAACAGTAAAAATATTTTATTATAGTCTGAGACCTGCTGAAAAGGCTGAGGGGTTGATGTTTTATTTTTATCAAGTTCATAATTTGAGCAAACAAAAATATACAAATAAAGACAGCTAGAAAAAAACAGACTGATTTAGTTGTTTCTGCTGAACAAAATCTGGCATAAATCTTTATCAAAATCAGTCAATTTAAAGCTCTATTAGATCTCAAAATCTGCTCAAAATACTTAATACTTTTAACTCATGCATTTTTAAATGGGCACCTTTTACTTGTGTAGATTTTTTCATGTTGTACTTTTACTTTTACTGTTGTGTTGAGTGTTTTTTTGTTCCAGTATCTATACTTTTACAATAAAGTAACAATATTAGGTACTTCTTCCACCTCTGATGACACGCCACCTGTTTGACTCTAAAGTATGATATTGAGCTTGTATATTTGGCATGCATTCTTACTGAAAGCAGGCTTGCCTCTCCACAGACCTGACCTGTAACATAGCCTAGCAAGCACCTTCTTATGTCCATGGAGATACTAGTATATAAGTTTAAAACATACTGGTAGATCCATAACAAATCTATGGAGACGAGCATTAGAGATGCAAGTGCTTCACCAAGCTTCACTAAATTATGTAATAACTTTTAGTCTGGAATTCCATTTTAGCCTTTGGTTTAAGGCTTGATTCTGTTAATGACATCACAACTCTAGCTGTTCATTTTAGTTGTAAATTATTCTATTTTATTTCACTGCAGTTATATATTATCCCAAATATACTATCACTTTTATGGGGAAAGTAGTCAAACGCATTTATTTGAGTGTGTGTGTGTGTGTGTGTTTGAGGCCAGTGCACCTCTGATGTGTCACAGTTAATGGCCTCATATCTCTGTAGTGTTTAGTTAAGTTGGGCTCAGACAAAAATGTTAACAATAACGATGGATGGATAATAATGTTCCATATATGTATGTGTATGTTCTAATTTTTATTCTTCATCGCTCCAGCTCTTGAGAGTGGCTCACCTGGGCACTGGACGGAGAATACTGTACAAGTACCGCCGACAGGTAAAGTCCATAGTAAAATTTGTAATGATATCTATAACAACCAGAGAGTAAACAATAGCAGTTGTAAAGAGGAAAAAGGAAAAAGAAAACTAATTGAAAAAGTTTTTAGTGGATGCGTTTTCTTCTCCTTCAAGTTGCTTCCTCAGTTCTGACAGGGGTTTGATTGATCATACAAACTCTGACTCAAGTGACAATTCACACCTTAGGGTAGTCCTGCCTTTACTAAACAGCTATAGGGTGTGTAAGTTTCAGTTTAGTTAGCTTGTTTCTTCAGGTAGATATAAGGCAGTGACTTAAAGAACCTGTCAGAACTGAAGAAGCCTCTTGTGGCAAAACGTCTTCCCTCTAAAACGTTTGCCCAGACTGGGAATAAACAATACATTTATGGTGGCTTTACACACATTTTTTATTTCAACAGAACAAACTTGCAGAAATCCTTTACGACTCCACCCGGGTCAGCTTCACTTATGATGAAACTGCCGGCGTCCTCAAAACAGTGAACCTGCAGAGTGAAGGCTTCATCTGCTCCATTCGGTACCGTCAGATCGGCCCCCTAGTGGACAGACAGATATTTCGCTTCAGTGAGGACGGGATGGTGAACGCACGTTTCGACTATACCTACGACAACAGCTTCAGGGTGACCAGCATGCAAGCGGTGATCAATGAAACCCCACTGCCCATAGATTTGTACCAGTTTGATGACATATCCGGAAAAGTGGAGCAGTTTGGCAAATTTGGGGTCATCTACTACGATATAAACCAGGTAAGAATAATTCAGAAATGGTTGGAGATGTGATGTTAAATGTTCAAGTCTCATTTATACTCCATCACAATTCGTTAAATTAATGTGAAAGTGCTGCAGAAAAATTAAGAAACCCTAAAGAATTGCTCATAAAAATAATAAATCAGTAAAACCTATAGTAAATAGAAACTAAAAACTAAAAATAACTGAAAAACATGAATAATAATATCAATAATTATAATATTAACAACAATAGTAGTAATATACTTAAAGGCATTTGTTGAACTTTTAACCATGTTAGAATGATTTTCTCATAATTGTTGGACTTTCTTGAGAAAGCTTCTTATCTAAAAAATAAAACAAAACAATTTATCAAATTTAAAGAAATAGACAAGATGATTTGACAATATAGGAAGTGGTGTGCCATGGAAAATTTTCAACCAAAAATTGGTGCCATGACTCAAAAAAGGTTGAAAAATAGTGGTCTAAGTCAAAGTGATAATTCAATTGATTCATGCATGTTTGTGTAATTCTGTATTGTCCTGCATCTGAGTGCTCAGAAAGTCTGATTTCACCCACCTTCTATGTCCAGTCGAGGCTCTGTACTTCCTCTACTAAAAATCTGATTCTGGGTCAAACATGTACAATAAAAAAATGTGGCACAATTTTTTTCAACAATGAAAACACCAAAATGAAAATGTGCTGTGTGTTGTTCTGTTAGTTTAGAAGAAGAAATCAACAAACCTGTTTACCCATTTTACATCAGTATTTTGGTTTACAATTATCAAAATGTCATCTTATTTAAACCATGTATTCTGTCTGTCAGATCATCTCCACGGCCGTCATGACGTACACCAAACACTTTGATCAGCACGGACGCATAAAGGAGATCCAGTACGAGATCTTCCGCTCGCTCATGTACTGGATCACCATTCAGTACGACAACATGGGCCGCGTCACCAAGCGCGAAATCAAGATCGGACCCTTCGCCAACACGACCAAGTACGGCTACGAGTACGACGTGGACGGACAGCTGCAGACCGTGTTCCTCAACGAGAAGATGATGTGGAGGTATGCTTTGGGAGATCAAATAAATGATGATTAATGCATGTTTTGGAGATATAGCCATGTTTAGTGTTGCATCCTTGGTTTCTGTTTATATTGTTAAAGCCCCGCCAGGTGTTTTTAAATGATTTTATTGTACAAAAAACTGAAAAAAAAAAAAAAAAAGCATTCTTACTTCTGAGTGGGCTTGTTTGGAAGCCAAGGAGTCATTCCATGTTGCTATTAGTGATATTAGACATTTGATTGCCTGTTTTTGTCAATGAAATATGGAAGTTGCACAGCCAAATGGAAAGTAGCATGGAAAATGGTCACCAAGTTGGGATATGACATCACATGTAATATTGTATACAAATGTCCATGGTCAGGAGTACCTAGCTGTTCTGTTATAAAGCAGTTTGCAGAGTGGTGGCCGTTATGCCAAAATCTAATACTACATTTTTATTCTTCTTGACTAGTATTTTATTTTTTTCCCTGAACAAATGCCAACATTGTCTTGAGCTGTTCAAACCCTAAATTGTTTCGCCCCACTTGTTGTGCAGATATAACTATGACCTGAATGGAAACCTGCACCTGCTGAACCCGGGGAACAGCGGCAGACTCACCCCTCTGCGGTACGACCTGCGAGACAGGATCACACGCCTCGGGGACGTTCAGTACAGACTGGATGAGGACGGCTTCCTACGACAGAGAGGGGCCGAGATATTTGAGTACAACTCCAAAGGTTAGACCACATGGGCAGTATCATTTTGTACTTGTGTACTTGTTTTATTCATGTATTCAGTACTGGCCTGGATATGTTATCAGTCAGTCATAACTTAATACTAAATTGAATCCCCAAAGTATTTCTATTTTCACTCCTTTTTTTCCTGAAATGAACTTGTCCTAAAAGTCTTCTGCTTTTGATTTAATCTTATAGTTTCAGCTGCACTTGTCTCATTATGTGATGCCTATTCTAAACCTATGCCACACTCCTATTTAGCAATTGTTTACTCATGAAGAACATATAGTTATTAACACAAAACATATTAAAAGTGTACATTTTATGCATTTTTTATATTCTATTATATAATAATATGCACTTAAGCCCTTTTTACTCTTTTTTTAAAAATTTGTTAACTAAAGTAATTACACACATGCTTTAATTAAACATCTCAATTTCATCCAAAATAACATAGATTTCTAACACTCTTAACTGAATGTACTTTTTAAAATTAATTTTAAAAAAGCTCTAGATTTCTTACTAACTTGAGCATTGTTATAATAGTAGGATTTCAAGTTCTTCTCTCTTCTCTGACTTCAGGGCTCTTGGTTCGCGTGTACAGTAAAGCGGCTGGTTGGACCATTCAGTACCGCTACGACGGACTGGGGCGGAGAGTGGCCTCCAGGAACAGTCTGGGCCAACACCTGCAGTTCTTCTACGCAGACCTGAACTACCCCACCAGAATCACCCACGTGTACAACCACTCCAGCTCTGAAATCACCTCCTTCTACTATGACCTGCAGGTACAATACAGAGGGCTCTCCTTTGGGTTTCAGACAGACTACTGCAGTTTAATGGTATGAAAAATCTGATGAAATGAGTGCATAAGTGGGTCAAGAGAGTAATCTATAGGAGCTCTGCTAGCGTATGGCCAAACGGTATTTAAACAGATTGCGATTAATTTGCAAGTGTTGCCAAAAAGATGGTGAACACAAAAAGGTTTGACTAAGGTTTTAGAAAATGGACCAATAGAAACATGGACCATTATTTTAACTAAATATAATGAACAGTCAATTCAATCAAGTTGTTGTGATGAATTCTCCAGCTTGAGTATACACAGGACATTTGCCTGTATGAGGTCACAAAACTACACATTTTGCATGTGTATTTCTCTGTTTTGATGTATTTTGTTTACGTTGGGCTGGTTCTCCTTCAGTGGCTGCCCTGACACCACTAGACTGCAGAAAAACACTATCTTTATTAGAGACTCCTCTTTCAACACAAATCAGTTTGAGAAATGAATTTAATATTTTTCATGGTTCACTGGCTCAGGAAATCTACCCCAAACTTTGCAAGTCTGTTTTATGTTGATGTCAAGCTAAAAGAGCATGTGTTTGCCTGGAAAATCCAAAATGATATGTTTTTTTTTTATATACAGAGGGATATCAGTCTGGTCCCCACACCCTCTGCTACATCACAAGTGCCACTAAATGTGATTGTGCAATCAGATTTGTTTATTCCAGTATCATGTGAAATGAAAGAGCTCATTGGTCACCTATGATTTATAGTCAAAAATGACATTTTTCTCACCTCAGATTAACAGTTTAGTGCTTTACTCTTTGATTCTGCAGAAATACAGGATGCTTTTCAGTCCCTTGTGATATTTTTTGTTCTTTTTTCCACTCATAAGTAGCTCTATTTATGTTGATATGGGCCATTAGTGTCCCTTATTGAATAATCCACCTGTCAGTCACGCCCAACTGAAAGTCTGAGAGATTCACTGGTGACCTGACTTTTCATTTAATCTTATAGTTTAATCTATGTTATTTAAGTAGTGTTTATTCTGGATATCAGGCAAAACATGTGTACATTGGTTAAAGAGAGTGTGTTTGAAAATGAACCCATAAATTCAACCAGGAGAGAAAAATACTGTAATGTATTATTTGTACTGGATATTTTATGTTCACTATAAAATATATTGTACATAACATGAGCTTTTAACCATGTTCTAATGGTGTTCATTCATACTTGGCTTACTCAGTGTTATATTTTGATTAATTCATGCCTTTTTGAGTAATCCTACATTGTCCTGATTTTGATGCATCAGAAATGTCAGTTTTCACACACGTGTCTCCACCACTCTGTACTTATTTAGTTGTGATTATTCAAAAAACTTCAGACTCTGGGGAGTACAGGTAGGGCTAAAAATGTCCCAAGAAAATGAAATGAGGATCCTTTACTTGCTACAATGAAATTCCACTATGAAGAGGCAGGTTCTCACAGATGTGTAGTTTTGAACAGGAAGTCAATGAAGCTGTAAAACTTTGGCACTTAGACCTGTGATTGGTTAAAGCGTCAGGTGACCAGAGGAAAGCAAATGTCCTTTTAGCTCAATATGTCTTTTCATTGATTGTAATGTGGCTGATTGTTGTTCACAGGGTCATGTTTTTGCGATGGAGATCAGCAGTGGAGAGGAGTTCTACATCGCCTGTGATAACACTGGAACCCCACTGGCTGTTTTCAGTAACAATGGACTTCTGCTAAAACAGGTACATCCCTGAGCCTCACACTGACAGTACAAACATTGTCACTGAATCATGTTTTTGTCAATATCGATTTTGAAATCAGTAGGCAGTAGTTTGCATGATGAATTTGCCTGTATTTTCTCTAACAGTTTATTTTGTATTTTAAATTGCTGTAGTCTGCCCTTGAAAGGTTATTATTAAAGGGCCCATATTATACTATTTTCTACACTATAATCTTTCCTCATCACAAACATACCTGGAGTTGTGTTTTGTTTCATTTACACATGTTTATCACACAAACCCTGAGTTCTCTCAAACAGAAAACACTCTTTTCCACCTTGTGATGTCATGTGGTAATACAGGAAGTGCTCCACTGTGTTTTTAAACTCCATGCACCATCACTAAAGTAATTTGGACAATTTCAGCCACGGAGTTGCCCATCTCTATTGAACTAAAGGTTAAATGCAGCTGTTAACATTAAAGTTACTGCTTCATGGCATCACAAACTAGAACAGAGGAGATGCAGACAGACTAATACAGGATTACTCAAACATGTGTGAATGAAACAAAACACAACTTCAGGTATGTTTTTGATAAGATAACATTACAACATGGGTAAAAGCTAATTTTGCATAATATTTTTTAGTGCTCTCTTTTACTTTCAAAACAAAGTAAATAAAGTGTCCACATATGCAACATGATAGTAGAGAAAGTGCATAAATAAAAGTGTGTGTCTGATACTTGAAGCGTGGAGTGGAGGAGAGAGATGACCACATAGTTTATAAAGCAGCTGATCAATTAAAATTCACAGCACACCTTTTTTGCTTTATCCACTACACTTAAGTGGTCTTTGTGATCATTTCTGTCTGAAGTCTACACACTTGTCTGTCTGGTTCTCAGGTGCAGTACACAGCCTACGGAGAGGTGTACTTTGACTCTAACCCAGACTTTGTGCTGGTGATCGGTTTCCATGGCGGCCTGTACGATCCCCTCACGCGCCTGCTGCACTTCGGAGACAGGGACTATGACATACCAGCTGGAAGGTAATTGTAATTTCTTGTGAAGACTGAACAGTATTATGCATCTAAAAGTCCTAAAAATGTAATGGTCATTTTTTCTTCTTACCCTGTGTTTAGTCCTGCTCTACTCTTAGGTTAATGCCAAACTGTGAAATATTCTAAGCAAGTTATTACATCTCATGCAGACAAGTAATGTTACATACCTTTATGAGGGACACGCTTTTGTCTGAAGTGGGTTTGGACCTGTTCAAATCTGACTAAACAGGTTCAATCCCTGTTTAGGCTCAGTGGTTTTGTCCCTCAAGGCTACATTAAATTGCATTGTGTTAAATTACGTTGTTTTACGTGATTTTAGGTGGACCACTCCTGACATCAGCACATGGACCAGAGTGGGAAAGGACCCTCAGCCTTTTAACTTGTACATGTTCAGAGGAAACAATCCCATCAGCAAAGTCCACCAGGTTAAGGAGTACGTCACAGGTAATATACACCACATACATATAAATAATATTCTATTCATTTATGTTTATACTCATAGTTCTTTTTATAATTTTATGTTGTTTTTTTGTTTGTGTCATGTATATTGGGGGGTAATTTCCTTCTTGGTAGTTTCTTTTGTCTAGCGGTGAATGCTGTGCCCCTTAAAGGGAACATAGATGTATTTCAGTATTACATCGTCTTCAGTCCTATCTACCGGTACTCCCTATTGGCCACTACTCTATATTTACTAAAGATTATTCAAAAAATAAAAAATAAAAAAAGATTCAAGATTCAAAAATGTCAATTAGCCATTTTTCAACACATAACTGAAGATCTGTTGCTTCTCACTGTGAAATGCTTTTATGACTGACAGCTAAATTTAGTGAGGTCCATATATCAGAACCATAAATAATGTACAGATGACTGGTCATGTCTTGAGGCCACATTTGACACCAGCTTTATGTAAACTCTTCTTCTCCTCTCTCTTTCTTCAGACGTAAACATCTGGTTGGTCACATTCGGGTTCCACCTCCACAATGCTATCCCAGGATTCCCCATTCCCAAGTTCGATCTCACGCAGCCCTCACTGGAGATGAAGAAGAGTCAGCTGTGGGACGACCTGCCTGTAAGTAACACTGTTACTTAAGATTATTTGATATTAGATGTTTAATATATTTTGTTCACTCAAACCTCTCTGTTTTGTGAATCTCTCTTGCCCTCTCCAGGCCATCTCGGGGGTGCAGCAGGAAGTGACCCGTCAGTCCAAAGCCTTTCTGTCATTTGAGCGCATGCCTGAGATCCAGCTGAGCCGGCGGCACTCAGACCACACACGACCCTGGCTCTGGTTCTCGTCTGCGCGGTCTCTGGTGGGGAAAGGCGTGATGCTGGCTGTAGTACAGGGCAGAGTGGTCACTAATGCCCTGAACATCGCAAACGAGGACTGCATCAAAGTGGCAGCAATCCTCAACAACGCCTTCTACCTGGAGGACCTGCACTTCACGGTGGAGGGACGTGACACACACTACTTCATCAAGACCAGCCTGCCGGAGAACGACCTGAGCGCACTCAGGCTCACCTCAGGGAGGAAGGCTCTGGAGAACGGGGTCAACGTGACCGTGTCCCAGTCCACCACCGTCATGAACGGCCGAACGAGGCGCTTTGCTGACGTGGAGCTGCAGTACGGAGCACTGGCTCTGCACGTGCGCTACGGCACTACCCTGGACGAGGAGAAAGCGCGCATTCTGGAGCATGCCCGCCAGAGGGCGCTGTCCACGGCCTGGGCGCGGGAGCAGCAGAGGGTCCGTGATGGGGAGGAGGGGGTGCGGCTGTGGACCGAGGGGGAGAAGAGGCAGCTGCTGAGCAGTGGCAAAGTGCTGGGCTACGACGGCTACTACGTCCTGTCCATAGAGCAGTACCCCGAGCTCGCAGACAGCGCCAACAACATCCAGTTTCTGAGGCAGAGTGAGATCGGCCGGAGGTAACGGCCACGCAGCCCACAGACAGTTTAACAGGGATGTCACAAAACTGAAGGAAACCCAATGTTTGTTTACTTTTTCTTTAAATATGGTCTCCACCGATCAATGATAATCACTTAATGCACTGACCCCAAACCAATCGAGATACTCGAGCTGAAGAGCTCAGTCTAAACAATGCCTTCGTTTTTTTGTTTTTATCTGCCTTCGAAAAGCCTGCACGCATGCCCCTCCCTTGGTGTGGTGGGCGGGGCTAAGATTGCTCCATGCCCCTCCCCTGGTGTGGTGGGTGGGGCTAAGATTGCACCATGCCCCTCCCCTTATGTGGTGGGCGGGGCTAAGCCTACACCATGCCCCTCCCCAAATGTGATGGGCGGGGCTAGTCGAGTGCCGAGTCGTGAGCTGTGCAGCTGTTAAACAGTAGGATGTTAAGACTTTGATCAAAGGGCATTTCTGCAGCATCACGAGGAGCTCGAAGCATTTAGACAGTGAAACTGTCAGAGTATGTGGGCCAGATCAGGCCCGAGTCCAGAGCAGGAACTGTGGGACTCTCACAGAGAGACGGACACTAAAGGACTCACATTTGTATGGAGGACAAAAAAGACTTTGTTTGGATTTTTTGGTTTGTTTTATAAGAACTTGCATTTGCTTCGAACTAAAAGGAGATATTAAAATGAACAAAAAGTGTTTACATACTATTATCTATACCACTATTATTAATCTTACCACTCCACTACCACCAACACTGCAGGAAGGCCCATCTCTGGACTGACCCAGGACTTGAGTTGTGTTTTTTCTTTGTGTTTCTGATATCGTTGATCAGTTTGGGCTGTTTTGAAGCTACTCCTTTGTGCTTTCACCAGGTCTAGTCTCTCTTCAGTCAGGACCATGGACTCAGATGCCATGGACGCACTGTTGGCTCCTCTCAAACACTGCTCTGCTGTGGAGGCCTCACTTCTACAAAACGTGACTCGTATGATGCATAGACCTTGTGCTTTTATCGGTCGGAGGTGGTAGTTTTGCTTGCAATAGAAACATGTTGTCATGGCTTTTGGGGTGGGCGGGTCGCTGTGAGTAGTAACCAACTGTTGCTTCTCTTTGTTTATTTTGCTCGTTTCTTAAAGGGGCGGCGCAATGCCATCAGTGACTTTAACAAGTAACAGTAATAGATCAAAACTTGATGTGGACGTTTTCTCATTGATCGTGGGTCTCTGTACTCTTAAAGGGGAGTTTTTTTCTGTGTATGTGTGTTTACAAAAAGTGAAGGGGATGGAAAATCTTTTAATCATTTCAAAAGGAACAAACAGGAACGATTGTTTGACACCATATGCTACCAGTTGTTTTCTTTCTTTCAATTGAGACAAGTCAGCGTCTTTTGGGTTTCTCCTTTTTATTTGGAAAACTGAGAAATTCCACTTATCCGTACATCAATATTAGTCTCAGAGAAAGTAATTTATGTACAGTGTTTATACGGTAAAAAATAAAAAAATCTTGAAAGTACTTTGAGTGTGTGTGATGTCATTTATTAGTCAATACATTTTTTCCTCTACGCATTCTAGGTCTTTTCATCAAACTTTTCTTCATTTTGTCTGACTGAGATGTAAACAGACCACACTGTTTCTTATGTGCTGGGGCATTGAAAGCTGGGTCAAATGCAGAGGACAGATTTCCTCCTGGAGACGCATTTCACACATTCAGTCATGGAGAAGTTTTTAAAACGGACGAATGCAAACTCCGAACTGGGCCCTGGACAAGATCCTGACCCAGAAGAAGAGCTTTTCAAGCTTAACTGCTATAAAAACTAAAAACAGAGAGAGACTGAGAGCTGTTGATGAGCTTTGTGTGTGTCTTTCCTGCCAGGATATCAGCTTTGTGTTCATCTAAACAGGCGCAGGTCTCACACTGAGTAAGGAGAAATTAATGTAGAAATTATATTGTAATTAAATATACTGTATAGTGTCATTTTTCCAATGTAAAAAACGTGCCGTGGCTCAAAAAGGGTTGAAAAACACTGCCACTTGGTCCTATGCACCGTGGCTATGGAGAGTTCAGGCTGGGCTACATCCAGAAACATTAATGACCAAGCATGTGTGTGTGGTGTGTGGTGGCTTCCAGCGTGTGGCCACCATTTTCTTAGGCTTGACAACAAAATCCTTTGCTTGGCCACTTTAAGTTTGACTTGTGAGAGGTTATTTAATGTCAACACATCCGGTAAACAAGTACATCAAAAAGCAAAGAGAGCTTACATGAAACCTGCCTCCAGAAATCCCGCACGGGTGGACATTAAATGTGCCAATAAAGAGCATAATTTACATAAGGGATCCTCTTCATAACACAAAATTTTTGGGGAGTTAAATTTGCAAAATTATAATGGTGATCAGGATTCCTGGAGAACAGGCTTTTCCTTGAGTGAAGCAGAAAAGACTCTGTGTATGTTATGTATGATAACTGTTAGTTAATAAAATAAAATAAAATAAAAAATACAAATAAATTAAATAAATAAATAAATAAAAAAATAAATAAAAATAAATAAAAAATAAAATAAAAAAATAATAAAATAAAATAAAAAATAAATAAATACATAATTAATTAGTTTAAAAATTAAATAAAAAAATAATAAAAAATTTAAAACATTAAATAAAAAAATAAATATATTTTTAATAAATAAAAAAATTAAATTAAAAAACTAAATAAATAAAATAAAAAATATATAAAAAATAAAAATAAAAAAAAATTATGAATAAAAAAAAAAATAAATAAATAATAAAAAAAAAAAATTAAATTAAAAAAAAAAAAAAATTAATTAAATTAAAAAGTAAATAAAAATAAATAAAATAAAATTTTAAAAATTATGAATAAATAAAATAAAATAAAATAAAAAACTAATAAAAAAATTTAAAAAAATTATTTAAAAAAAAAAAAATAAATAAATAAATTAATTAATTAATTAAATTAAAAAACTAAATAAATAAAATAAAAAATAATATGTAACTAAAAAATAAATAAATAAATAAAAAATAAAATTATGAATAAAAAAATAAAATAAAGAAAAAAATAATAAAATAAAATAAAAAATAAATAAATTAATTAAAAAATTAAATAAAAAAAAAAATAAATAATTTAAAAAATTGATTAAAAAAAAGAATTAAATAAAAATAAAAAAAATAAAAATTTAATAAATTGAAAAAAAAATTAAATAAAAAAACTAAATAAATAAAAATAAAATTAAAAAATATATATAAAAATTAAAAAAATAAAAAAATAAAAACTAAATAAATAAATTAAATTAAAAAACTAAATAAATACAAATAAAATTAAAATTAAAATTTATAAAACTAATAAATAAATAAAATAAAAAAAATAAATAAAAAATTATAAATAAAAAAATTAAAAATAATAATAATAAAATAAAAAAAATAAATAAAAATAAATTAATTAATAAAAAAAAAATAAAATAAAAAATAAAAAACTAATAAAAAAAGATTTAAAAAATTAAATTAGAAATTAATTATATATATATATATATAAAATAAAATAAATATCTCTGGTGCACACTCGGAGCAGGCTGACAGCATCGATGATCAAGAGGATTTCTTGATGATGTTTTGGGGCGAACGTGCCAATGAGCGGGACGAATGAGTTTGAAGGGGTTTGTCACAAATGTTTTTGACAAGTTTGATTAATTAATAATAATCAATAGAAGTTATAGATAGTATAACCTGTAATTCGTTTTGGTGTTTGTGTTTGAAGAAGTATTTGTTAAAACAGTATAATTAATACTGCAGTTCTTAGTTTATGTTTGAAGCATTTAAAGGAACTGTATTGTGTATTTATATGTATGTTTTATTATTGTTTTACTATATGATGTGTAGTATTGTTTCATTATATTTATGTATTTATTATATTAATTACAGAAAATAAATTTACATTAAAGGAACTCATTAAAGAGAAAAACCTGATTTGTTCATAGTTCAAAGTAAATTTATTTGTCACATACATTATTATAGCAGTGTATAATTGCAGTAAAGAAACCAAACATACCATAAAATTATAGTAACAGAAAAGAAAAAAAAAAAGCCAGTAACAAAAATTGTAAAACAAGGATGGCATAATCACAGCATTAGGTGAGTGTGGACTGGTGTTGGTGGTAAGCCTCCACGCCACGTCAAGGTCCTCGTGGCATTGGCATGCTTAAAAGCATAAGCATCAATGCATCACATTTCTTATCTTTTCAATGTCATCCATCACAGCAAATAGTAGAACGTGTGTATCACAGCAGATGGGTGTAAAAATCATTAAGTTTCTTATCTTATCAATGTCATCAATCACAGTAGGCAGTAGAATGGGTGTATCATAGCAGACAGTAAAAGTCATTACATAGAAGGAAGGGGGCATGCGGTTGTCAATGTCAGGAGAGGCACTGTGGCCCGGGACGAAGGTCCTGCTGCAGCTGCAGCAGCTGTTGGTGGTGCGGCCAGAACAACATACATAGGTGGTGCCGGTGACAGTGGCAAAAGGGGTCGCCTTCCTGGTGCTGCCTGGCCAGTGTGCATCACCACTGGTGCTGCCGCTGGTGGACCTACCCTGTGCACCAGCACTGGTGCCGCCGCTGGTGAAGTTGGAGGTGGCAGCGCTGGTGCTGACGGTGCTGCTGGTGTTGGTCCTTGGAGTCCACCTGCTGCAGCGCCTGGTCCCAGTGCCAACAGAAGTCTCTTCTTCTCTCCCAGGGTTGCTGTGTACCTAAAAATACAAAACAGAATTCAAGGACAGACTTTAGTTAGGTATTCAACTGTGGTGATGTAGTTGAAATTGACAGTGGCTGTGTCTACCAACATCAAACCTACCACTGCGAGAGCATCCTCTGGTTGATCTCAGCCAGCTGGATTGGCGCCCGAGCCATCAACCTCTGGCTGCCCAGCACAAGGTTGCGGATATGGTGGAAGTACATCAGAATGTAATCCAACCTACTCCTCCGTACCCCCCAAATGACAGTAAATGGAGGCGGAGTAGATGAGACACAGTTCTGTGCACACACGCTTCCATAATCCGGCTTAAACTGGGCCAGGTGGCAGGTCCTGAGCTTTCCCCAGTCAGGCAGCTATAAAGATGGAATAGAAAGGGCAGGAGCCATCATGAGGACACGCTCTCACATTTCAGTATGTAACTGCTTAAACTTAACAGGTGTATATACTCTGTGGGCTTACCGTTTTAGGCTTTCCACCCCAGGGACGCAGGGGTTGGAAGGCTTGCCTGACTTGAATTGCCCCTGAGTTGGCCTGTCCTAGTAAGGGGTATCACCAAGGCCTCCTAAAGGGCGATCAAGCGATCTACCCCCCCTCTCAGACAAGGCGGCTTGCTCCCGCAGCCCCACCAAGGTTCTGGCCAGCTCGGCCACAGCCAGGTACCCAGGCTGGTCATCTGGTCCTCTATATTCCTGCACACACACAAGCAACGGAGGAATACAGAGTAATTAGTCAGATGATGAGCCGCTGCACGCATGTACAAAGACAATGGATGCTCACCTCAGCTGGCTCTTGAGGAGGTGTTGAGGACCGGCCTGGGGACTGGAGTGCAGGCTCAGGGGTGCTAGGCCTGTTTGGGAGTACAGGTACGCGATCCCTATGAGTTCCCCTAAAATTCAACACACAGACACAAAGCACACAACCCTTTTCATACTACTGGCCAAATTTAGAATTCTTTTGGAATACTACTCCCTGGGTGTGGTATAGTCCTCGAAGACTGAGCTCTCTCGGCTGAGCTCTTCGAGGGAGCACTGCAGGGGGGCCACCGAATGAGCAGAGCAGGCGCTCTTCCTCCGCCATGGACGCTGCCCAATTTTCATTCCACCGCACCAACCCATCCAGGAGAAATGCCTGAAAGTGCCAGGTACACTGAGGAGATGAAGATGAGATAAAGGGTTACGTCAGTCACACACATGCTGTTGAATGTGTAAGGACACGGTGAGGAATTTACCTGGTATGAAGAGGTTGAGATGCAGGTAGAATGATTCGAGGGATGTGGAGCCCCGCACGCATCTGTACACCAGCAGGCTGATTCCCCCCTTTTTCAGCCTGCCTGTCTGGGTGTACAGCTTCACATCCCACCACCTCCTGGATGCAGGGGAGGTGGAAATTCTGCTCCGCCCAGATGTTGTAGATGCGGTCGTCCAACAGAGGAATTCCCATGGTGTTCTGTCCCCACTCGCTGGTGGCCAGGAGGTTGTCGATCAGTCGCTCCGTCTCCACCGCTACACGGGTGTGGCAACGGCAGTGGAGGGCCATCTCCCTGCGGCTGACATGCCTCCAGACCGCAGCATCGTTACGGGGGACGGTCTTCCCTTGTGCCACCAGCTGCTGCTTCCTCGCTGCAAGCAAGAGGGCTCTGTCTGCAGCATCCCACTCGAAGATGGCAGAGGACAGCTGCTGCAGGAAGGGCTTGTAGAGCTGGTGGCTCTTGGCTGCAATGCATCAGGTGCCAAATGTCCAACCGGACGACCAGCTTGTCCCCACCCCGAGAACATAGTAGCTGTCTTGTCACCTCCATGCCGCGAGCAGCAGTCCCAGTCGACGTACAGCAGCAGCGGCAGCTCTACCCCAGCATCCTGGTACCGCCTCACCAACACGGCAGCCATGGGCTGAAGGCCGGCCCCCTCGGCAGCCGTGAGCACGGACATGAGGACTTGCTCGTGCTTGTTCCTGACGTTGGTAGCCCAAGCTGCGGTTCCACTGGCAGCACCGGCGATTTTACGGGTCACCTGTTGACGATACCAAACAGTAACACCTTAGTGATAACGCCGGAGCAATGTGTCAGTGTGTCAGGTTTAAGCCCACCTAAACATTGTAAAAGTAAGAAGAAAGACAAGAGATTAATATCGTTTACTCGCGAGGAGGACGGACAGAGAGTGCGATCAGTTACAGCAGTCTCCACCCGCCCTGATGCACTCCCTGCGTCTCCTCTTTTTATTGTCATAAGGGAGTCCCTAGTTACAATGGGTGTTTCTCTAAGGGGAGGGGTTGAAAACAACAGAAAAACAGTAGAAACATCAGACATGATTTCATTGTGCAAATATGTATATTCAGCATCAGGTGGCCGATAAGGTGTAGCATCATTGTTGTAGCATCTTTGTTGTAGCATCTTTAGGAACAGCACGTCCCCTCCAGCACGTCCCCTTCTTTCTGCCATCCTTGAGAGCTGCCCTCTTTCCCAGCAAAGTGAGAGCCGTCCTCTTTCTCAGAAAAGAGCTGACTAAGTCATTGTTTTAGCAGTGTGCAGAGTGGGTGACAAGTCACTGCATAGTTATAAGCACAAACATTATTTCACACAAAAAACAATACATAGAAAATATGGGATAACATATATAAAATTATTCTAACACAGTGATGCCTAAAATGTGTTGCCATTCGCATACCTTCTTGATGGAGTCCAACTTCAGGATCTTCCCAAAGACGGAGGTGACCCGGCCCTTCACGTCCTGGAGGCGGGTGAGGATATCATGACTGTAGACGGACAGCAGCCACTCCAGAAGTGGAACAGGGCGCATGAGCGGTGGCGGCTGAACCGGGCCATGATACCCACCTTCTTGAAGGGCCTCATGATGCTGAGGTACCGTATGGACTTCTGCATCCACGCTTCTGTGTGCAGCCCACAGATTTTGTTGTAATGCTGCGTGGCGCTGTTCCCCTTAGAACGCTCACGAAGCAGCGCAATAACCCGCCAGTCGCAGGAGAGCCTGAGGAAGTTACAGAACAGCCACACGCAGACACACGCATTAAAATGAGTAGACTGCAACTTACATGTATGTGAGCACAGCTGGGAACTGGGCCAGCTGTCCTGGTCCCAGCTGCCGCATCACCCCCTGCGACCATCCTGCTACCTTCCTCTGACATCGAGTGCACTCCAGGTACTCGGCAGCCATGACATACCAGGAGTCGATGTCCAAGAAACTCCGGATGGTCTTGTAGAACCCAGCCTTGGTTAATGGTTTGCTACAACCAGGCTGGGTGCACGCCAGCCGGACGCCAGCCGGACACCCCTGGGACATCCAGAGGAACAACTGGTACGTGAAGAAGGAGTCAGGACTGGCGGGCGGCTGAGAATAATTCTGCTGGGGCTTGGGGGGTCCGACCACTGAGGCGGGACCTCAGCCTGCTGTCCACCCTAAACAGCACCCCAGCAACCTACTCCTGCTGTTCCCTCGTGAGAGCTGCACACCAGCTCTCAGGCAGTTGGGGCTGTGAAGAAACACAGGCACACCATAAGAAAGGCTTAAAGGCTAAACAGGTGTAAGGCAGCTGATGTGAGAGTGTGTGTTGAGCGTATAGTAGCGTATAGCACGCGAGTATTTCCTCCTCACCTCAGCCACAGCAGGAGTGGTAGTTGGCTGCTCCATGTGCTTCTCCTTCCTCTTCCGCGGCGGTGGTACCAGGGTGGCCTCCCCCGACGAAATCACCTCCACGGACATCCGTCGGGTATCCTGGCTTCCCACAATAGCTGGAGAGGCAGCTGCAGGTGGAGGAGGCGTCATCGCAGGGAGCTGGTTAAGGACCTGTACTTTGACTTCAAAAGAATACAAAAACTCCACAATGATCCTGCAAATGAGCTCAATGGCTAAGGAATGCATGCACAGAATAGAGTTACCATAGTTACCACGAGAGTTAGTATAGTTACGTTATTTATAAGTGATATTAGTGATTTTAGTGAATGGGCAACACACATTAAAAGGAAGGATGTACACCATCACCCGTGGATAGTAAGTATGGGAAGGCTGGCATGTTATGTAAAATCTATATTAGTGGCACCAAACACCAAACAGCGACAGTGAGGATGTAGCATCTACAGCCATGCAAGGCATGATATCAACTTTACCTCTAAAACCTACCTTTGTCCTTCAAGCACCAGCTTTATGAGTTATTCAAAAACAAATAAAATGAAAGGAAAGTTAATTCATTCTAAATTCACTCAATATCAAAATTCCAATGTCAGATGGAATAGTGTTTGTTGTGTGTGACATTTACCCATCTCTATGTCACTGGCAGCCTCGACCAGTTCCTCGTCCGTCATCTCCATGGCGGTGGACAGCAGTGGACGCGAGGGGCACTGGTCTCGGACGGAGGACAACACTATGGATAAAGAAGACAGCACTGGTTATCTATCACAAAGGCTGAGCATCTGGTATTTAAAGGACTGAAGTGGAGGCTTCGTGGAACTGCAGGCTGTGATGACGCAGGACCGACAATCTTGCGGACCTTAGCCTGCAGCTTGCCTGGAGTCATGGAACACCGCTCCAGAAGGGACTTGAACAAAGGAGCAGCCGGCTTTCGCTGTGGCAGCGGCGATATGCTGGTGTTGGTGGTAGTAGCAGCAGCAGCGGTGGTGGTGGTTGTGGTGGCAGCAGCGGTGGTGGTGGTAGTTACGGCAGCAGCGGTGGTGGTAGTGGTAGTTATGGCAGCAGTGGTGGTAGTAGTGGTGGAGCCACTGTTGCTACTGCCGGCCGGCTGCTCCTTGTCCCTCACCAAGATGTACTTCTTGGCGGTGTCCATAGTGGTCCCAGGTATAGGTGCGCTCCGTCTCAGCCAGTTGATATAGCTGCTGGGCAAATAGTGAATTAATAAACAAAAGCACAAGCAAAATCACACAGGCTTCAAGCGCAATGTCTTTTTACCACCTCCTCTCCGAGTCACTGGCTTCATACAGGCCCTGGAGTGTGTCCCTCCGGTGTACACCGAAGCCAACAAGGGCCTCGCACTACTCAGCCCGGGCCTCCACCTGCGCTTTGTGGAAATCCAGTAGCTCCTGGATTTCACTATAAGTGCAGGCGTACTGGGAGAGTGCATTCTTGTTGGCCATGAGGGGGCTGATGGAAACGCTCCTCTCCCGCTCCCACTGGTGCTTGTCCAAAAGCTGGATGACATAGCCCAAGTCATTCTCCAGCAGCCAGTGGAAGGTTTGACCCTGGTACTGACCA